AAAAAAAAAAAAAAAAAAAAGTAACTGAGTGAGTGAATAGTTGTGTTCGTAGTGGGAACATTGGTTACTCCTAGACAATTCATTGGTGCTACTAGATGGTTCTTTTTTTAAAAATTTTATTTATTTATTTATTTTTGGCTGTGTTGGGTCTTTGTTGCTGTGCGTGGGCTTTCTCTAGTTGCGGCGAGCAGGGGGCTACTCTTGGTTGTAGTGGCTTCTCTTGTTGCGGAGCGTGGGCTCTAGGTGTGCGGGCTTCAGTAGTTGTGGTGCACGGGCTTAGTTGCTCTGCGGCACATGAGATCTTCCCAGAACGGGGATTGAACCCGTTTCCCCTGCATTGGCAGGCGGATTCTCAACCACTGTGCCACCAGGGAAGTCCCAGATGGTTCTTTTCTTACAGCTTGTTCAGTTCCACTCATTTATTCTCATCAAGTATTGACTGAACATCTTCTGTGAACCAGGTGCTACACTGAGCTCTGAGGTTCCAGAGATGGACCTTCTTCCTGTCTTGGAAAGAGCAAAGCAGGCAGAGTTCAGGGTCATGGAGCTATGCCAGTCGTGCCCAGTGGTCTCGAGGTGCAGAATTCTTGAACATTCTGATTTGTGTTTCACCTGTGGTTCTACAGTAAAAATGATCTCCTATAACTCTAGGTATACTTACAAGGTCTGGATCAGAAGATAAAATATTAAACAGTATTTAAATTTTTCATGTCAAAGCTTCTCATACAAGTTTGCTAGAGCTATGGCATGGAAATAAACCAAGAGAAAAAAAACCTCAAATACAGCACCTATTGTATTAGTGCACCAGAATTTGGCTTCTGCTTTAAAGTCATAATTAGTCATTCATATGCCAGATAAAAACCATTTATCTTATTAGAAAAAGTATTGAGTTGAACACTTAGACATTAAGGTTTAGACCTGTGCTAAGGTGTGTCCCATGTGGTAGTTGCAGCCTGTGTGGCTCTGGAGCACTTGAAATGTGGCTTCTGAAAGACCCTGTAAGTGTCAAATACCACCAGATTTCAAAGACTTAAAAAAAAGAATAAGAAATATCTCAAAAATATTACTGTATTGATTACATGTTCAAATGATAATGTTCTAGACATATTGGGTTAATAAAATATATTACTAAAATCAATTTTACCTGTTTTTAAAAAGACTTTAAAAAACATATCTGCGAGAGAAGTTAAAATCATATATATGGCGTACATTTGTGGCTTGTGTCATGTTTTTGTTAGACGTGTTACTTTGGATACATCTTTATCTGAATGATTTTGGAAAGACTGCTACAATTTTAATTGCAGAAGTTACCTTTTTTATCTTGCCTGTCTTCTAATCAAAGCTGTATTTTTCAGTCCTGCCTTTAAGGCATGTGCTGAGGTCCATGCCTGGTTAATCAGAATGTTAAGAGTCTAAATTTGGGCTTTTTCTCTGCATCATTCCCACCTGCATTTGCCAGGGGCTGATCTAGGCTCTGGGGATACAGCAGTAAGCAAACAATATCCTGGCTCTCACGGAACTCGCATTCTGCTGAGGGGAAACATTGGATAACGAGTTCGGCTGAGTGCTTGAAAGCAGCCATCAGGGTCTGGTTTGCAGGGGAGGGCATGGGGAGGGAGGAAGGAGGCCACCTTCACTAGTGTGGTCAGGGAAGGTCTCTTTGAGGAGGACGTATCTGAGTGAGACATTGAAGGTAAGAAGGGGTCGTGCAGGGAGAGCAGGCTGAGGGAAACACTGAGTGCAAAGTCGATGTGGCGGGAAAGCCAGCACACGGAGGGTGGTGTCTCTGGATGAAGTCGGTGAGATGTCAGTCACAGAGGGCTTTGAAGGCCGTGGAGTTCTTTGTTACAGTTGGCCCTTGAGCAGCACGGGTTTGAACTGCTCGGGTCTCTACTTACACTCGGCTTTTCTCCTAAATACTACAGTGCTTCACAGTCCGTGGCTGGTTGAATCCATGGATGTGGAACCTTGGATATGGAGAAACTGAGGACACGGAGGGCCGACTATAAGTTAGACTCAGATTTTCCACTGTGTGGAGGGTTGGCTCCCCTATCCTCCACACTGTTCAAGGGTCAACTGTACTCATTTTAATTCAAGGGACAGTGGGAAGTGAAGGGTTTTAAATGGGGAGTGATGTGTTTGCTTTGTGTTTTTAAAGCTCTCCCTAGGGAAGGGATTACAGGTAGACAAGAGTAGGGTGAATGGCTGGAGGGGAAGCCACCCAAGATTTAGAGGCCAGCAAGGAGGTGAGAAGGATGGGCCAGTAGCTAGGAGGAAATCTGGGAGAGGGTGTGTTACCGAAGCTAAAAGAGTTTTTCCAGGAGGAAGTGGATGTCTGTGCTCAGTGCAGCTGAGCATTGAAGGAGGTTGAGAACAGATGTGTCCCTCGAGTCTTAGTTAACATGGACATGGGGCGCCAAGAACCTTCAGGCATCTCTGTTAATCTTAACAGCCCTGTTTTTTTTGCCCATATGTTTAAGAAACTTATATATTATTTCTTTAATCCTTACAACATCTCATTTAAATAAGTGTCATTGTGGAAGTTAAGTAAGTTGTGAAGTGTCACCCAGCTGGGAAGTGGTGAAGCTGGAATGTGAACCAGCATCCCCTAAACCCAGAGCTGGAAGCTGTGCGAAGCCAGCAGGTGATGCCGCCTGCACCCTGGGCAGTGGGCAGGTGTTTGACTTGCTCTTCCTCTTTCTAGGTTATGGCCTCCGCTGCCACCGGGCCATCATCACCATCTGCCGGCTCATTGGCATCAAAGACATGTATGCCAAGGTCTCTGGCTCCGTCAACATGCTTAACCTCACCCGGGGCCTCTTCCACGGGCTCTCCCGCCAGGTAACTTCCCTGGGCTCTGAAACAGAAGGGCTAGTTTGTATTTCATGTGTGTGCTCTGAGACCACCGTCTCCCAGGCTGTCCTGGAGCTGCTCTCGGGCCACCTGAGGACTGGGCATTCTTTGTTGTCTGTGGCTGCATCAGGTTAGTTAATCCAGCTGACGAGTTAGTTCATGAGAATTATCCTGTAAAAAAATGCTCCATGGGTGTTTTGAAGTTTTAAAATTAAGTATTTTTAAAAGCCAGTAATTATAATCTGCTTTATTATGGAAAGAATACCCGCTTGTTCTAAAGCTCCAACAACATAAAGATGTAAAGTAAAAAGAGAGAAAGTCTCTTTCCTCATTTCATCCGTTCCTTTGGAACTGGGGTGAAGTCCCTCGGGCACCTCTACTTGAGAGCGGTCTTCAAGTGAAGCACAGTCAGTTTTCATGTCACCTGTATAAGTAGTTCCGAGGGACATCTGAGTCGGTAGGAATCTGAACATTAGTAGTTCAGGTTATTTCTCCACATAGACGGGAGCTCTGGGCCCCTGCCCAGCTCACCCCCTCAGCTCACAATCACTCCAGCGGTAGGGAGGAAGGGCTGTCGCTGCATGCACCCCACCCCCACCCCCCTTCTGGGCTGCCTGCTGCCTCTCTGCCAGCTCCGCGGGGCTGGCTTGTGCCTTGAAAGGATGGGTGGACCTTAGCAGAGCTGGGTGAGCAGAAAGACAACCAGGTTCAAGAGACGTTTGCTGACCTCTATTTGCTGAGGACTTTGACAGGCTTCCTGACAGAGTGTGATGGCTGTTTCTGAATAAAGTGATCCATGGAATAATTGTAGCCGTCTCTGTTTAAAATAGGAAAATTAATTGAAAGAAAAAGCTTTGCTTAAAAAACCTTTTTTGAACAGCTGTGTTCGTGTGTGTGTGTGTTTGTGTGTGTGTGTGTGTTACTACTATCTAAAACGTCCTTCAAACGCACTTCTAAATTTACACTTACTGTTAAGAGGTTTAATTGTTTGATGTAGCTAATATATTTGTTTTAGGTAGGTCATATTTATGGTCAAGTAGACCTGTTCTAAAATGCCATCAGCTATAAAAAGTTGCATTGTGCTACTCAAAAAAAAAAAATTAAACCAGTGTAAGCAACATGCCACTGATTATAAGACACTCCAATTTAAATTATTTTATGTTTTTTTTTTTTATGAATCAGCTCTTCTCTTTTCTAATTTCAAACGTATATAGAATTAGAATAGTACAAGGTGCGCATAAAGTCTGGAAACATGAGATTGTACATTTCTCATGGTATTTTAGGTATTTTAATTACTATCAATAAACCATCTATTGAGTTTATTCACCTTTTTCCGACTTTTATGGCTACCTTCTGTTATGAATCCCCATGGCTCTCTTATACAGCATCAACAGTTAGCAGCTCGTGGCCAGTTTTGTTTCTCTAAATCACCCCCAACCAGCCCTAGTCATTTTGACCCAAATCTCAGATATCAATTTATTTCACTCATAAATATTTTATCATGTATCTCTAAAAGATAAGGAATAAAAAGGACCCGACAATACTACTATCATACGTAAAAAATTAACAGTAACGAGATATCAGACATCTAGTCAGTGTTCATAGAAATGTACCCATTTGTCAGATTAAAAAATTTGTTTAATTAATTTATTTTTGGCTGCTTTGTGTCTTCGTTGCTGTGCACGTGTTTTCTCTAGTTGCGGCAAGCGGGGGCGACTCTTTCACTACAGTGTGCAGGCTTCTCATTGCGGTGGCTTCTCTTGTTGCGGAGCACGGGCTCCAGGCGCGCGGCTTTCAGTAGTTGTGGCACGTGGGCAGGCTCAGTAGTTGTGGCACACGAGCTTAGTTGCTCCACAGCATGTGGGATCGTTCGGGACCAGGGTTCGAACCCGTGACCCCTACATTGGCAGGCGGATTCTTTTTTTTTTTTTTTGCGGTACGCGGGTCTCTCACTGTTGTGGCTTCTCCCGATGCGGAGCACAGGCTCCGGATGCGCAGGCTCAGCAGCCATGGCTCACGGGCCCAGCCGCTCCACGGCATGTGGGATCTTCCCGGACCAGGGCACGAACCCGTCTCCCCTGCATCGGCAGGCGGACTCTCAACCACTGCATCACCAGGGAAGCCCTAAAAAAAATTTTTTTAATACAGTTTGTTAGAATTGGGCTGCAGAAAAGATCCATACATTTTAAATCTTTGCTGTCTTTTAAGTCACTTTTAATCTGTAAGTTCCCCTCTTTTTTTTCCTTGCATTTTTTTATTGTTGAAGAAATCAGGTTGTTTGTCCCAGTCTGGCGCTAAATATCTGAGGATCCTTAACATCTTCTCTCCCTGCACGTCCTATAAATTGGTAGCTAGAGCTGGGACACGATGAGGTTCAGGTTCAGTTTTGGGCACAGTATGGCACATGATCAGGAGGGTTAGGAAGTCAAGAGACCAGAGGGCAAGGCCCTTCCTTTATCCTACTTGGGGGTGGGGAGATGAGGCTGACATGATTCCGCCCACAGCGGGTCACCATAGTTCAGCCACAGCAAATCCCTGCTCTTTAAGTTACAGACTTAAGTTTATTGTGTTGTTTTTTTTTTTTAAAGTAAAATCTCGTTTTTTGTTTTTGTTTTTGTTTTTGTTTTGCGGTACGTGGGTCTCTCACTGTTGTGGCCTCTCTCGTTGCGGAGCACAGGCTCCGGACGCGCAGGCCCAGCAGCCATGGCTTACGGGCCCAGCCGCTCCGTGGCATGTGGGATCTTCCCGGACTGGGGCACGAACCCGTGTCCCCTGCATCGGCAGGCGGACTCTCAACCACTGCGCCACCAGGGAAGTCCTAAGATCTTGTTTTTAATCACTCTTAAATAATTCAGTAAGCAAATAAACTTGATACTATATTACCTGGGCCATGTTTCCTGCTGTAATAATCACCCTCAGTTAATGAATTTTCAAGAGTTGTTACGTTTTAATCAACCAAACAGTTTTGGCCATGCAAGATAAGTATCAGGGGTGGACCATGTTAGACCAACCTCATAGACCTAACCTCGTGTTCTCAATTTGGTCATGCCCAGGAAACCCATCAACAGCTGGCTGATAAGAAGAGTCTCCATGTTGTGGAATTCCGGGAGGAATGTGGCCCTCTGCCCATCGTGGTTGCCTCCCCCAAGGGGGCCTTGAGAGAGGATCCAGAGCCGGAAGAAGAGGTTCCAGACATCAAACTGGACTGGGAAGAAGTGAAGGCTGCACAGGGTATGAAGCGCTCTGTGTGGTCAAGTTTAAAGAGAGCCGCCACCTAGGCCTCCCTCTGCCCTGGCTCAGCCTGGCATCTCTTGCTTCTGGCACCTGGGAGAGACTCAACCCCTCACACTTTGTTGATTTCTTTTTTTTTTTTTTTTTTTTTTTTTTTT